CACACCCATTTCCGCGTGAGTCTTTTCACTGACGCATGGTGCACCTTCTGCTGCTTTCTGGAAGTACATTTTATCGAAGGCTTTGGCTTGGCCGCTGATCTTGGTAACCATTGGAAGTTTTCTCGTTTGATACGCGAAACGAGCAGAACGAGATCTGGTGTTAGCGAGACCGTACGCGTTGAGGGTGGATGGCAGACCCACAGTTTGTCGAAACGCTTGGAGTGTTGAGCCGATCGCTTTGAGAAACAGTCTAATCAACTAGAATCACCGGCTTCTCCTTCGGTCATTGATCATCCCTCTCCCTCGGCCGTGGGAACACCGGGTGAGCAACGAACGTGTTCGACAGCTAGTTTTTGGCGCAGAAAGAAAAAACGAACAGCTGACCACCATTATTTCATGAACCATCCGATTCCGGATTTGCTTGTCATTGCGGCCTCCTTAGGACAGTCACAGGACGCCGGCACCTACAGAGAGACCACAGGTGGCTTGCGCTGCACCACTCACAACTCCTTTCACACACTCCATATCCAATGTTTACCCGAAGAGAGGCATGTGGATGGGAGCCAGGTTTCATCAACTGAGTCGGCCCATAGTCCTTCAGCATGCACAGCAGCAGCCCTGTATATCCGTTTAGGGAATCACGCGTTCCCGACCTGCACAAGGTTGCGGCTGGATCGTAGTCCGGTCCACAGTGGATGGAACCACTTTGAGCCTAGCATGGCCACGAGGACGTGCACTCTTTCCACTCCAGCAACGATTCACCATCTCCTGGAGCCAGGAATCGAGGTGGAGGCTGTTAGACATGTAGGCACCTTGTCCATATGCACATCGAGCGCAGCCAAACCGGGGATATCAAACAACCAACATAGAATTTGAGGGAAGGCAACCACTTAAAATTGACATAGAATATGTAGCAAAGGAACAGAACTGAACGAATCAAGTAAAGTTGAATAACTTTTATCCAGATTAAAAACTCTGGTTTAAGTGTAAGTCGATTTAGCCCAACTGCGTTGAGAATGCATCATTTATGCAACACCAACATCTGCATACATATAATGGTTGGCGGCTTCCGGATTCGGATTTGCCTGTCACTGTGGCAAGCCACAGAACTCTTGCACCTACAGAGGGACCATGGGTGGCTTGCGCTGCACCACCCACACACCTCATATTCAGTGTAAACCCGAAGGAAAAAGCAGGGGAGGAATGCGGATGGGAGCCACGTTTCATCAACGGAGCCGGCCCACGCTCCTTCAACAAGCAGTACAGAAGCATTCCGGCCTACTTTGGAAATCATGCACACCAGACGTACACAAGGCGCTGGCTGGACCGTAGCCCGTTCCACACAGGATGGAATCACTCTTTGAGGCTAGCACCGTCACGAGAACGGTGTACCCCGTTCCGTCGAGCAAGGACTAACTGTCTCCTGGAGTCAGCAGTTAAGGTGAAGGTTATTAGACAGGTAGGTACCTTGTGAAAATTCACATCAGGCGCAGCCACATTGGAGAGCTCAATCAGCATCTAACCGCTGAAATGCAAGAATACTCAACATGCAGGCAAACGTATCACATACGCCGCCTTATCGGCCTGGATTAGTGAACCGAATGGGATCGTACGCATCTTGCTTCCATTCCGCGTGGAATATTTCCTTCTCCAGCACCTGGGCAACCGCTCTCTTGATCAGTCCTCAGAATTCGCACCGATCTACTACGCCTTGGATTCGCAACACCTGAAATCAACATGAGTTCGTCATAAACTCACTTTCTTCTTCATCTCCTGGTAATGTTATTTTTGGTTTACCCCAATACCGTATTCCTGGACTAAGTTGGCCGTACAAAGCGGTATGAGTATCCTCGTCGAATTCATTCGGTATACATATATGCATGGATTAACGTCATCCTTGTCCAATAGCAGTTCGAGTGCAACGTATGCACATGCGCTTACCCATGCTTAAATTTGAACTGCCACAAACTGAATAGAGACACATTAGACCTCATGAACAATAGTACTAAAAAGGTGTATGGGTTTCGTTTGGAGGTCAGGCTAGCAGCCACTTTCACAGACATGAGAATGAGTGCAGGATTCGACGGGTGCGCGCTACTGACGAGTCCAAATAGGACGAGCCGGCTGTCTAACACTTCCTGGATGTGTGGTGGGTGTCTGCCTGTGTCTAACTGCGACGGATCTACACAAAAACCTAATAAATCCCCCTACTACTTACAAATAATTATGAGTGTCTGTTCGTGCCAAAACTTGAAGGCACCGCTCAGTTACCATTGGATCCATCAGTAAGGCTGGCTGCACTTGCGGTTTAGTGAGATTCAGTCGCACAGCATGGATGGCTCGTTACTGTACTGACTGAATTAGTGCAGTTGTATGTGGTTGTTATGGCCAATGACCCGATATACAGAGTTAATCTGACTGTAATGACCACTTGCACCGTCGTTGTATGAGCTATGCTTGTAGTACCGGTTTACGCTCCTTGCTTTTGTTTTGGTTCTGTTAACATCGGTATACCGAATGTTCGTGTCCCCCGAATTTTCGTATGGTTCCCTAAATGTTGCGACACAATAGCTGAGGTGCTTTCCACCCCTACTTAACGTGTACTGGTTGAATGAACCTGGTTGGTGCTCTATGGTTATCCATAAGGTACACGTGCCGAGATTGAGCTTCGGAGATTGGAAGTGCTCTCTCATGGGCGTATCAAATTTCATTCGCTGAAATTTATGGTATATGAGTGTCTCCTCTGAAGACGTGCAGAAATCCGATCAAGCTGCATGTTGGAACGCCATTGATTACCGATCTCATGTTGCCAATCCAATTGTTCCACCCCGAGGTGGGGGTAGAGTTTAGAGGCCGAGTCGGCGGGTATCTCACGGTAGTCAGAAATCTCACCAGCAGCGTTTCAATGCTAGCACATTACTCTATTTGTTAAATGGTACAGAATTCAGGTAGCTCTGGGTGCTTTTCTCATGTAGGATTGGAAACATCTACTGTCCAGTTCTCACAGTGAAAACAATGGTCTGTCTGAAATGGGAAACAGTGCATACTGCAATTTTACCTCTGCAGTACAAACAGAACTTCGTTCTTAACCTACATTGTCGTTCTCACAGCATTTCTAGTTCAGTGTCGTTGTGAATTGGGACTGCTGCATCCCCAAGTCATCGTTTCGTTCGGACGCACTCCGTCCTCGTTGGCAGACGAGTATCTAGCATGACAGTGTCGAGAAAGAACGTTTTCAGTGCCTTTTAGGAGAGATGCCCTCTTTGAATTACCGAATCTTTCCGAGCTATTTACCCGCATGTTGTTGTCGAATCTGCCCCGTTTATTACTCAGCTTTCCCTGATTGACTCTCGGTCCACCTCGAATCGTGTATCAAATCGTTTGTAACTGTGGCGGTTTGAGCTACCTCGGACACCTGACTGGACGATTGACGAAACGCGTAGCACACCATTGCTCATCCGCGTTGTGGACATGCATTGTTAAAAGTACCAACAGCTCTATTTTGGAATACCAGGCTCAGTTCGTGACCACATACACTTTCAACTCTTTCTAGGTCGTGCCAAAGCGCGACTCGAAAATACCTACGATCAAGGTGATACATTTTAAACTGTGCGGGCTGTGAGCGCTGCTGCAGGTTATGCTCGTACTATCTCCCTAAGTCGGGCGTGATCACCGTGCACCGAGCTGCCTGCCCGCATGCTGTTGTCGATCCTGCTCCGTTTTTACTCAGATTCTAAGCATTCACTCCCTGTCCCCCCGGATCGTATACCAATTCGCTTATAACTAGACACACACAACTAGACGATTGACGAAATGCATAGCAGAACATTGCTCATCCGCGTTGTGCATATGCACTGTTAGAACTGACAACAGCTTTAGTTTGGAACACCTAGCCCCAAGTCTAATCACCGACGCTTTCAACTTTTTCTAGGTCGTGCCAAAACGCGACCGGAAAGGACTTCGTAAACACATATCAATGGCGACTGAGGCCTCTTCGTTCAGACTGATGCTGCGAGCGCTGGTGAAAGCCCCCTCCTCCTGCCATGTCCCTAATTTGGGCGTGAGCGCTGTGCACCTTGCTCACAGGCGGTGACTGTTTTGGTCCAATCACCCCGTCGGCCGGACTAACCGCTGTGTAGTGTGTGCGCGATTGCAGTTGGGCTGACGAACGCTGCATCTTGTTTGTAGTCAATCGACTCTACTCTTGTTTTGGAAACCCTTCGTAATGCCTCAATCAGTGTTTGGGTTGATGAGATCTATTGAAGCGAATTTTTTCACTGAATTTGGAAGACCAAACCTGTTACCAAAGGCTATACCCACATTGGAAGATCACGATTCCTCATTTTCGGACATCGTTCTAAACCTCCTATATTGACTATTCGTCACTGGGTCACCGGTTTTGCAAACTACTTTAATGAAATATTTGGTCACTCAAAAACATTACAACCTTGGCGTGTGTCACCTAAACTGACGTTTTTGAGCCTGTGACCATCGATTTGTACTCTTAGGTGAGGGATGTGCACACTCCCTAGTTAGCACGGCTATGGGGATCGAAGACGTAAGTGATGTACTCAGAGTAGATCACCAGAATACTCTGATAGGCGAAAGCAGTAGCTAATTGTACACTACTTGAGTAGACCGCCATGTTGGTCACGGCAGCAGTGGGGTTCCCTGTATGCGACTGCACTGAGTAGGCCTTCTGTGGAATGCTGATTGCATTCCATGGAGACCTCGTTCTTCCTTATTCACTCCGAATCAGGGGGCACTTAACTTCGTTCGCAATACCCACATCAAGTCGTTGTTAAAAGCAGATTAATTACACATAACTTTTCATTTATCTTCCTCATTCCGAGATAACTGGAAATTAGCGGTCGAAGATCCTCATTGCGATTACTTTATCATTATTACGACTATCGTGTACCTCATTCTAACCGACTCTGCACAGCTTTCCCTGTGTGATTCATTTTTGGTTATTCACCTTTTGTTTACCATTCCAAAAGAACGTCTTCATGCGTGTGACCACTGTGGTAAATCGTTTCGGAGGAAGGACGATTTGCAAAGGCATATAAGTTTTGTTCATTTGAGTGAGTTTGTTATCGAAAGTGTTACCCTGGTTGTGTCATCGTCAATAGTTTTATTTGATTTCATCCGAATAAAAGTCGTCGTCCCCTTGTTGCTACTAATGCTATCATGCCGCATCAACCGTCGCGCAGGCGCACTAGAAAAAGAGTCGCCTTATCTGCTTCATGTAGCGGGGTGGATAAGCGAATGCATGCTACCGTTGACGCAATCTTTCTTTCTTCTGCACATACTCTTCCCGTACCCATTTCACATAACCCACTATTTCTTCAAAAACAGTCAATCAGCGATTATCGGCCACCCAATCGTATGCCTCTACACAAAGTGCTCAGCATTGGGCGCTTCAACGAAACGTACGAACTGTACTCGTTTGGCACCCGAATGGGCCACCGGAGCGGCGCACTACACTGGTCGTGATGGGATTTATGCGCTACGAGATCGACATTGCCGCGCTCAGCGAGACTCGGCTCCTTGCCCAAAGCAAGCTGCATGAGGCTGGTGCTGGGTACATGTTCAGCTGGGTGGGGAAATGCCACCTCAGCACCACATGCGTGTGGGATCGGATTTGCACTATGCGACGGCCCGAGTGGCCGGTTTGTAGAACTGATTGGCATCAGTCCACGACTAATGCCTCTCCTGGAGCCAGAAGACTGCTTGTTCATTGTATCAGCATATGCTCCCACATGGCGTGGCCCGGAGTCAGTTAAAGACGAGTTCTTTTGTCAACTGTCCGACCTTCTCTGAAATATGTGCCGTGCAGACATCGTGGTGCTTGCACGGGACTACAGCGCACAGGTCAGTAGGCTTGAAAATGAAGAGCGTGAACTCGGTGGTCAACATGGCCTTGGCACTCGTAAAACCGATAACGATGATCGCCTACTTCAGCTTTCTTTCTTTCAAATACTAGCTTTCGGTGGTCCTGGCGCCATTGCGCGACCTGGAGGCATCCTTCACTTGGCCTGCCATGGACTCAGATTGACCAGTTGCTATCAGTTATCGTTGGCGTGGCTGCATACAGGATTGCAAATCAGTCTGGAGTACATACCTCACTTCGGACCATGCGCTCGTGTGTGCCGAGATTGCTTTACGTTTTGTTGACTCCCAACGGCGTCGCCGGGAATGGCTTGACGTAGCCAAACATACTGCCTCAATCGTTCTCAGCGCGTTTCAAGATATGTTGGCCCAAAATCTCAAGAGTGCCTCAAGCTCTGACCTTGAACTACACTGGACACACATGCGCAGCGCCATGCACAACTCCGCGGCCCTGGTCTGGGGTTTCACCAGTAGTCCTGTCAACCATTGCATCTTTGCACGATCCCTCCAACTTCTCGAAGCTCGTCGGGCGATGGCCCAGCTGGTGTTGAGTGTCATTCACTACGCCTGACCACTAGCGCTGAACTCAACCAGATCCTCAGGGAAGGCCGCTAGGTTTGGTGGATGCAACGGGTCTTTGATATGATGCAGGCAGCCAGATCAGGGAGTTTCCGAAAGATTTTCCACCTCACCCGATCCACTGGCGACAAAAGACCGACTGTAAGCGAACTTTTGTGCGAAACCAATGTCGAGCGAATCCACTGCCAGCAACGTCGACTTGTGCGTTGGGCTAGGCACTTTGAGCAGCACTTTTACTTACCTGCAGTACCGGTAATCCCTCATTCGGGAATCCATAGTGCTCCCTGGTGTGTAGATGCTTCTCCGCCTTTTGTGACTGAGGTTGCTCATGAGCATCGCCTCCTAAAGCGTTGCAAAGCCCCTGGCCCGGACGAACTCCCTCCGGCACTTTTCAAAGATGGAGGTCCATCACTTTTTCGGGTGGTAACTTTCCTCCTCCAAAAGGTTTGGACCACCGAAGCAATTCCGTCGGATTAGAATCTCGCGGATATCGTACCCGTCTTCAGAAAGGGTACCCTCACAGATTACGCTAACCACAGAGGGATTAGTCTCATCTGCGTTTCCTCTAAAGTGCTGGTCCCCCTGTTTTTAAGGAGGCTATGCCTGGTACGCGAACAAAACATACGTGAAGTGCAAGCTGCGTTCTGCTCCGGCCGGAGTTGTATCGGTCATACACTGCGCCAAATACTTGAGCGTCGTCAAGCGTTTGGCCGGCCAACGATCGTTGTCTTCTTAGACATACGAGCCGCGTTTGTTTCAGTTGCCTAAGCTGCTTTCTGGAGCTGTCTCTTGAGAAGGGGAGTGCCTGAGCATTACCTCAACCTCCTTGGAGCCATGCACTCTCAAACCTCGTTCCGAGTGCGGGTATACGGCGGACTTTCGCCCCCTCTCCTTTATTTTCACCAGTGACGTGAGACTGGGGTGCCCTACATCACCCTCTCATCTTGGATAGCGCTCTGGAGTATTGTGAACCCAGCGGCGTTTAACTGCTTACGGTGGACCGACTTCGCGATATGGAGTATGCAGATGACATCGCCATAATTTGCGATTCATCACACGCCGCCCAAAATGTACTGTGTATCTTGGAGGTGTCTGTCTCAGTTTGGAATGACCTTCGCCCATTCGAAGTGTAAGGTCTTCGTACAAGACTGGCTAGGATCTGCTCCAACCCTTGTCCTTTCAGGTCAATCTCTGTAAGTGGTAGACCAGTTTGTTTACCTCGGAAGCTGCATCAGCGCTAACGTTTTAACGGATGAGGTCTCCTTGCGCGTCTCTAAGTCCCAGGTTGCGTTCGCTAATCTCCGCCACCTCTGACGTCGCCGCGGCCTGTGTCTATCTTTGTAAGCCTCGGTTTACAATGCCACGGTGAAAGCGATCCTGCTTTATGGTTGCGAGATTTGGCCTGTTTGCGTAAAGCACCTTCAGAGGCTGTCTGTCTTTAATCACCGCTGCCTTCGGAGCATTGCTGTTGTACTGTTGCAACACCACAATCGTATTAAGGATGTTCGCCGAAGAATTTTCAAATCGCACAGACTTTGCCAGCCGCTGAACCGTGTATTTTCACTGCATATTGTTCGGTGGCTTGGGCACTTGCTACGCATGCCTACTGAGCGTTCGCCTCATCATGCCCTCTTTGCGCGCACAGAAGTCGACTGGATGCGAGGACAAGGTGGTTAGCAAATGACTTGGGCCAAAAGTCTGAAGTCGTTGACTTCACATTTGGCTGCGGTCGGGCACTCTCGACTCCTCGGTTGGGGGCCCAAGGACCATTAACACACATGGATGGAAATCCTATCGGACATGTCAAGAAACCGTGAGCGAAGATGTGAGACTCTGCCCCCATGACTACAATTTTTGCACTTTTTTACACTCCCTATTTCCTTGTTGTTGTTGTATTATTATGTTCGTCCATACGTTGTGGCACCTTGCCAATTTTACTGTTTCTTGTTTTCAATGTAGTATGTATGCATATTTCTCGACTGTGCGAGTTACAATCCAACACCTGAACTAATCTCATATGGTACAACATAATCTCAAAGCGCACATGTTATTTCAAATTCACCGAAAGAGTTCAAAATTAGGTATATGGGGATTTCCGTTGGTATAAATGATAAAAAGGAGAGTTTAAAAGCAGGATAAAAGTGGTTATTAAAAAAGCAATATAGAACTAATACGGCTAACCGTGGAACCGACTCCTGGGGACCTGCTTCCTTGCCGGATATTTCCTCAAGAGTTTCCTTCCTCACTTCCACGTCTCAGTTGACTTTGTGTTGGTGTGGCATAACAGCAAACGAGCCAACACCATACTAGCTGTTTTTTATGTCCGTTCTTATTTATACTGAGTAATAGGCTCACAAAAATAAGTGAGCTCTCATGTTTTTGGTTTTTTTAGTATACGCTTTTAGGTCATTCAGCCCATTTCGGCTTCTGACTCTTTCAAGTCTGACACCTTTTCCACCCGACGAGTGTGTGTGCCAGTTTGCCTTGATTAGGCATATATCTTCTCACCATTAGGTCTGTGACAATTCATCACGCGTGTGGATGCATTAAATAATCCGGAAGCTTCATTCCATCATTACAGGAGAACGGCCTAGTCATAGTCGTCAACAGCGGGAAATGTAGATGGCAAACTACAAAAAAATGATAGATGAATGGTACATTGCCGACAATTTCTGCTTCAGATTGTACATAGAACAAATAAAGGTAGTGAAAAAGGCTCTATTAACAATTTTGGGATAGATCCAGCGACTCCAGACAATCGATTTCTAGTAGTTGGCGTGGAAAGTGGACTTCACAGAGCATTAAGAACTGCCACATATAGCGAGTTGTGTTCTCCGGAAAAGAAGTGATAACAATTAGCAGTGCACAGCAAATGTAAAGAGCGAAAGAAACATTAGTTTTGCACGGGGAACAGCGAGATAACGTGATGTTGGAGTGTGACTGAGTTTAATGCTTTAACTAAACGATGACGGTATTATTCAGACAGTATTCACAAATATTGAACACTTGTCCCTTATACCTATACTACAACCTCTTCTTCATACGTTGACTCCACTCTGCACTCCAGTTTCATAAGTTCTTCGACTTGTAACGCAGTTAAGTACCTATCCAGTATTTTTCCAAACGATTGTTTAGACTCACATAGTCCCAATTCAGTTGGTAGTCTTTTCCAGATATCTGAGTACTTCGTCAGGTAAAATTTCCTGCGTTTGCTTGTTTTGGTTCTACTTCTGGGGTGTGTGTTTGGCCTGCGGTAGTGCTAGTAGCCGCGTGCCGGAGTCTTCTGGCTTCAGATGTTCCTAGCAGGTGGAATCTCATGAAATCCAAAGGAGGGTACTGAAAGTGTCTGAAGGTAGACCACAGATCTTTTCACTGTCAAGAAAATAAAGGATGCAAGATGCCCTTTTGTAGAGGACATTATCCACTGCTCCATTCAGAGCCAAGACACATCGCTCTCCCGACCAAAATAGACAGTTGCGCTTCTACCTCCAATGTCCAGCAGCAAGTGTCTAGTAGTATTACCAATACGCTTAGAATGTCTTTGGGATTCTTTGAAACGTACGCAATGTTAGATACTGGTTCGAATATTGCCTTAGTGGAGGAAGGCCTTTTACAACAAGCTAGCATCAGAACCACACCGACTCGTCTAGGATTCACGATGTCAGATTGCTCCTCACATAAATCAGTGTGTGCTGACTTCACAATGTCATCATTGAACGGCACAGATACAATTTCTACTAGACATACCTAATGTTTACCAAACTTGCCTTTAAAACCCATTGTAACTCCAATGATAAAGTTGGTCCGCCAGTGACCACACATGACGGATGTGCCCTTTAAAGAAATTATGGACAGTCGTGTCCGAATTCTCATGGGCGCAGACGTACAGGAGGCACTCTGGCATTTAGAGCAACGATTGTGGAACAGGAATCAACCGCTCTCTGTAAAAACCTTACTTGGCTAGACTTTACTTGAGCCATTGGGAGAATGCAAATCGGTCACCAATTCCGTGCATTACTCCCTAATCAACTAACCATCCATTGATGATCTGCTGGCTAGATTGTACAAACATGACTTTGTGCATGTGGACTCAGGAAATTATGAGTCTTCAGCAGAAGACAAGATTGCACTGTTGATTGCACAGAATTCATTGCATTTTGTGATCGATCTTCCCTGGCGAAATTCGCAAGTATAGATGCCAAATAACTATGAGATGGCTTTGCAGCGGTTGAAAGGTTTGCGAAAACGTCTGAGAGCCAACCAATCTTTCCGTGACTGGTACTCGGCGGTCCTGGATACTATTATTAGTAACGAGTATGCCGTGCCTGTTCCATCGAATCACTTGGAACTTAGCAATGCTCCCAAGTGTTATCTTCCCTATCACACTGTGATAATATCTAAAAAATCTAATACGCTGAGGCTCGTATTCACTTGCGGCGATCAGTTATTACAAGGCCCGGAAAGCATATCTAATCTTATAGGAACGTTGATCGATTCGGAAACGATAGAGTGGCAGTTGTTACGGACATCAAGGCGATGCTTGTACAGTTGAAGGTTCCAGAGAAGGATCGCGGTGCTTTTCGTTTTCCTATGATGGAGAGGCAGTAAGAATTGCGACTCTAATACGTTGAAGTATCAAATGATCGCTCACTCATTTGGAGCGATTTCCTCACCTTTTTGTGCTGGTTTTGCTTTACGTCATGCAGTGGAGGAGTGAAGAAATCGGTATGATAGTCTGTGTCAGATGCCATCGTGAATGGATTTCGCGATGATGACTGTTTGGTTTTATTGTCTTTTATTTCTGAAGCCGTCCAGTTTGTTGTTCAGATTCAGGAACTGCTTGGTATGGCAATGTTTAAGCTTCGATAGTGGGAATCCAGCAGCACTGAGATGCTTGTACTGGTGCCGTCTGCTGAGCTTTCAACCTTGATTAAACCCCTTGGAGGAACCAAACTGGTACATCACACGCTAGGTATAAAATGGAACTCGATGGATGACACATTCCTGTTCCGATTCGACGTAATGGATGGGCCAAAGACGAGGAGATCAATTTTGTCTGTGATGTCTTTCTTATACGACGCCCTCTGATTAGTTACTCCTAGAAGCATAGCCACACATTTGCTGCTGCAGAAACTGTGCATAGAAGAACTCGGTTAGAACCAGCTAGTAGAGCTAACAGATCCACGTGATCAAGCAGCTCTTACGCCAAACGCTATGCTATCATTTATACCAAATGCAGCAAGATTCGCGCCATCGACACTTTCTAAATGGTATGCTCGATGTTGGAGACGAACGAACTATTTAGCCATGTTATGTTGGAAAAGGTGGAGCGACGAATACGGCACCCTAATGCATACTAAACAGAAATGGCTTAAACCGCACTGCAACTTTAGACCCTGAGTATCCTCGAATGCGTTCAATCGTGATAGTAAGCCTTTGGTGTTCTTAGAGAGTAGCGAAACATCCAAGGACGGATCATTAAGAACCGTAATGGTTAGAATGGAAGGGGGCGTATATGAGCGCGATGTCAGAAAGATATGCCTCATGGATAGATGGCAGTAAATGGAAAAAGGGGTTCAATGCTAGCTGTTGTCTCTGAGCACTTGGGAGGTGGGTTTTCGTCCTGTCTCCTCAGAGAAGACCACCGTGAGTTCAGTATGCCGAAGTGGGGGATAGCAGGCGTACCATTGTAATTCTCCCAGAGCGAATGGAGCAGGCTAGGTTGAACCAGAATACATTGAAACCCAGAAAAAACTGCGGTCGGAAGTGTAGAATATTCCCTATTATTCTATCCTTTGCTGCCTTACCTCCGCTCCCTGCCCCGTGGATGTGATTCTCTTTACGCAACTCCTTTCCCTGTCCCAAGCGATCTTTATTCTCTGGCCCTCAATGGAGATTGTGTTCCGTGCCGAGTTAATTAGTTCTATTTGCATTTTAAACACGTAGATGACCTGCATTCAACCATGCGTGCATTGACCTACATTTCCAACTTCTGAACAGATCTAGTTGTCGTTTCCTGTGGCTTCGTTTGATGTTATCATTTTGTGATGTTTCGTTTTAACTCCCTCGCCGTGGCATTCGGATACTGGCGAGCAAGACATTCCTCACATCGCATGTGACCTGACGATGTTGCGAGATCATGTGAGTAGAGTTCACATACATGAAACCACCTCGTCCGTGAGGACAGTTGTATATGTTACTCCATGTGCAATTGGAAGACTTGCAATACCATCACGGTGTGCGTGTGTGTGTCTAGGGCATTGGCCGTTTCACGGCAACCTCTGTTTCCGATTGATCATGTGTAAGCCTGTAGAAGCCACAGTACATTGAGACGAGCTTATTCAACGTGAACTTGAAGCTCAGCTTTCTGGCTACCTTTGGTTGTTGTCTTTGTTAGATACACCTGTGCCGGAAGCACAGGTTGTTGTGGTATTGTACATGGTTGTTTTTAGTTGTTTATAATGGTACCGCATTCAATTTCCGGTGTTGTGTTGTTGATCCCGATGGAAACGCGTTAACTCAAGACTTCTACACGAATTGTGGCTTTCCATTTAGTTTCCTCACCTTAGGTGAGAATATGTTTCTACGGCACCTTTATGCAATTGTTTCCCGTGTCATCCATAGCGTTGTGGATTCCCGCAGTATACTCATCTGAAGGAGCACTAGGATATCATGCTGTTTGTCATGGGTAATGTTTGCAAAGCATGGATCAGAAAGTTGTTCACGTCGCATTGCCAACATTAAGGAATTGGTAATTAGTGCTTGCGGAGTTTAGGTGATGTCAATCGGAAACGCTGGGTTTTCGCATTACTGAATTCCACCGGTTGATGTTTATGAATGAATCGCCTTGTACCACGGTGGGGTCTCTGTTTAACTACAGCCCTTTGGGTTCCGTTACGTGTCCGCCGTGTACCCTTTGAGCGCTTTTCATACTGCGAGTGGTTGAAATGATGAGGTGGCCAGTGGGGGACGTGGCGCATCTGCAAGCTTACAGGCGCTTTCTTCCTCAATGTCTTATGTTCTTGACCGACGTTTCGATTCGCTCCCACAGTCAGCCTTCAGATTACGTACTTGTGCGCTTTGTTTGATATGTCGCCAACAAGAATTTTTTCGCCGCTTCTTACTAATCACACCTCAATTTTTACTTTTTTGTTCATACTCTGCTCATCTAATGTCGTCCTATTTTCTGTTCCAGAACAAAGTGCTCACTCCTGTGAGCAATGCATGAAACGTTTTTCTGGAAAGTCTCAACTCCAGACTCACGTAAACTGCGTCCACTTGAGTGAGTGCAGTTCTGACTGCTTCGCTAGGCTCTTACTTTTTCCGCTCATACTTTGAACAACATAATGTCCAATTTTTATATTATTATCTTTGTATGTGCTACGAGCTCCCTGGTTGTACTCTTTGCAACTCGCAACCTTATAAGCGATACCAATCCATTTTAGCAATGTTAGACTTCTAAACTCATTTGGAGCTAGTTGGCCATGAGAAGCGGACTGGTACTCAACTTGCTACCTTTGATTCTATTGTTGCCGATGTTATGTAGAACGATGGACTTGTTTCTTTCTGCCACTCATTGTGTCTTGACTCCCTTCTTCATGAGCAACGACCTGACTTGTGATGCATGCTGGTCAGCGCATAATTCATCAGAGTACAGCGAACTCGTGTCTAGTCATATTGCAGTATTCCTTTAAAACTGATGTTGTTTGTTTATTGTGCGGACACATTACCACCTAGTCGTCAGCTGTCTGTAATTGGCTTGGCATGTATTTAGAAATGGAAACACCATCGAAGACTTTTTAGATTTTGGGTTAGGCTCCCGTTGACAACGCTTTCTTGGTCATGATTGTTCGGGACTTATCGCCGGTAAACAGCCTGGGGTTGTGTTTAGAGCAGAAAGCCGATTACTATACGACTGGGCACAGCGATGGCTGATGGATGATCATGCAGTCCTCACAGCTGATATCAGCGCATTGCCAAACCGGCAAGTTTGCCGGCAATGTGCGTCTCAGCGCTTCTTACTGAGGTGCGCTTAGCGTACCATCAACTATCAAATGCTCCAATAAGTTCAGCGTTTCACTTGACTTGTGTTTTACCAATCGGCATTGTTGAACCAGATTCATTCGATCAGGTGGACACCGAAAGAAATGTTAGATGCATTTCAGCGTGACTTTAATGGAATCTGTACGCACTCGGCACTGTGCCGTCATAGGGGAGCTCAGCGTTCGCAATGTTCATCCTGTTGGTCTGAGCTGGACTCATTTACTTGAATGAGCAAGTCGAATATTAATTGGGCAATCTGTTGGATGTGCGAATTCACGTATCGCAATGCGTCATGATTCATAATCATGGGTTATATGTTGTGCACTCTGATCGAATATTTCAAGCTAGACCTTTGTTATACAGTAGATTGTACAAACATGACTTTGTGCATTTAGACTCAGGAAATTATGAGTCTTCAGCAGAAGATAAGATTGCACTGTTGATTGCACAGAATTCATTGCCTTTTGTGATCGATCTTCCCTGGCGAAATTCGCAAGTATAGATGCCAAATAACTATGAGGGCTTTGCAGCGGTTGAAAGGTTTGCGCAAACGTCTGAGAGTCAACCGATCTTTCCGGGACTGGTACTCGGCGGTCCTGGATACTATTATTAGTAACGAGTATGCCGTGCCTGTTCCATCGAATCACTTGGAACTTAGCAATGCTCCCAAGTGTTATCTTCCCTATCACACTGTGATAATATCTAAAAAATCTAATACGCTGAGGCTCGTATTCACTTGCGGCGATCAGTTATTACAAGGCCCGGAAAGCATATCTAATAGGAACGTTGATCGATTCGGAAACGATAGAGTGGCAGTTGTTACGGACATCAAGGCGATGTTTGTACAGTTGAAGGTTCCAGAGAAGGATCGCGGTGCTTTTCGTTTCCTATGATGGAGAGGCAGTAATAATTGCGACTCTAATACGTTGAAGTATCAAATGATCGCTCACTCATTTTGAGCGATTTCCTCACCTTTTTGTGATGGTTTTGCTTTACGTCATGCATTGGAGGAGTGAAGAAATCGTTATGATAGACTGTGTCAGATGCCATCGTGAATGGATTTCGCGATGATGACTGTTTGATTTTATTGTCTTTTATTTCTGAAGCCGTCCAGTTCGTTGTTCAGATTCAGGAACTGCTTGGTATGGCAATGTTTAAGCTTCGATAGTGGGAATCCAGCAGCACTGAGATGCTTGTACTGGTGGCAGCTGCTGAGCTTTCAACCTTGATTAAACCCCTTGGAGGAACCAAACTGGTACATCACACGCTAGGTATAAAATGGAACTCGTTGGATGGCACATTTCTCTTCCGATCCGATGTAATGGATGGGCCAAAGACGAGGAGATCAATTTTGTCTGTGATGTCTTTCTTATACGACGCCCTCTGATTAGTTACTCCTAGAAGCATAGCCACACATTTGCTGCTGCAGAAACTGTGCATAGAAGAACTCGGTTGGAACCAGCCAGTCGAGCTAACAGATCCACGTGATCAAGCAGCTCTTACGCCAAACGCTATGCTATCACTTATACCAAATGCAGCAAGGTTCGCGCCATCGACACTTTCTAAATGGTATCCTCGATGTTGGAGACGAACGAACTATTTAGCCATGTTATGTTGGAAAAGGTGGAGCGACGAATACGGCACCCTAATGCATACTAAACAGAAATGGCTTAAACCGCACTGCAACTTTAGACCCTGAGTATTCTCGAATGCGTTCAATCGTGATAGTAAGCCTTTAGTGTTCTTAGAGAGTAGCGAAACATCCAAGGACGGATCATTAAGAACCGTAATGGTTAGAATGGAAGGGGGCGTATATGAGATCGATGTCAGAAAGATATGCCTCATGGATAGATGGCAGTAAATGGAAAAAGCGGTTCAGTGCTAGCTGTTGTCTCTGAGCACTTGGGAGGTGGGTTTTCGTCCTGTCTCCTCAGAGAAGACCACCGTGAGTTCAGTATGCCGAAGTGGGGGATAGCAGGCGTACCATTGTAATTCTCCCAGAGCGAATGGAGCAGGCTAGGTTGAACCAGAATACATTGAAACCCAGAAAAAACTGCGGTCGGAAGTGTAGAATATTTTCTATTATTCTATCCTTTGCTGCCTTACCCCCGCTCCCTGCCCCATGGATGTGATTCTCTTTACGCAACTCCTTTTCCTGTCCCAAGCGATCTTTATTCTCTGGCCCTCAATGGAGATTGTGTTCCGTGCCGAGTTAATTAGTTCTATTTGCATTTTAAACACGTAGATGACCTGCATTCAACCATGCGTGCATTGACCTACATTTCCAACTTCTGAACAGATCTAGTTGTCGTTTCCTGTGGCTTCGTTTGATGTTATCATTTTGTGATGTTTCGTTTTAACTCCCTCGCTGTGGCATTCGAATACTGGCGAGCAAGACATTCCTCACATCGCATGTGACCTGACGATGTTGCGAGATTATGTGAGTAGAGTTCACATACATGAAACCACCTCGTCCGTGAGGACAATTGTACATATTACTATATGTGCAATTGCAAGACTTGCAATACCATCACGGTGTGCGTGTGTGTGTGTAAAGCATTGGCTGAACGCCCACGTTTCACGGCAACCTCCGTTTCCGATTAGTCATGTGTAAGCCTGTTAAAGCCATAGTAAATTGAGACTCGATTATTCAACGTGAACTTGAAGCTCAGCTTTCTGGCTACCTTTGGTTGTTGTCTTTGTTAGATACACCTGTGCCGGAAGCACAGGTTGTTGTGGTATTGTACATGGTTGTTTTTAGTTGTTTATAATGGTACCGTATTCAATTTCCGGTGTTGTGTTGTTGATCCCGATGGAAACGCGTTAACTCAAGACTTCTACGCGAATTGTGGCTTTCCATTTAGTTTTCTCACCTTAGGTGAGAATATGTTTCTACGGCACCTTTATGCAATTGTTTCCCGTGTCATCCATAACGTTGTGGATTCCCGCAGTATACTCATCTGGAGGAGCACTAGGATATCATGCTGTTTGTCATGGGTAATGTTTGCAAAGCATGGATCAGAAAGTTGTTCACGTCGCATTGCCAACATTAAGGAATTGGTAATTAGTGCTTGCGGAGTTTAGGTGATGTCAATCGGGAACACTGGGTTTTCGCATTACTGAATTCCACCGGTTGGTGTTTGTGAATGAATCGCCTTGTATCACAGTGGGGTCTCTGTTTAACGAGAGCCCTTTGGGTTCCGTTACGTGTCCGCCGTGTACCCTTTGAGCGCTTTTCATACTGCGAGTGGTTGAAATGATGAGGTGGCCAGTGGGGGACGTGGCGCATTTGCAAGCTTACAGGCGCTTTCTTCCTCAATGTCTTATGTTCTTGACCGACGTTTCGATTCGCTCCCACAGTCAGCCTTCAGATTACGTACTTGTGCGCTTTGTTTGATATGTCGCCAATAAGAATTTTTTCGCTGGCTTCTTACTAATCGCACCTCAATTTTTACTTTTTTGTTCATACTCTGCTCATATGATGTCGTCCTATTTTCTGTTCCAGAACAAAGTGCTCACTCCTGTGAGCAATGCATGAAACGTTTTTCTGGAAAGTCTCAACTCCAGACTCACGTAAACTGCGTCCACTTGAGTGAGTGCAGTTCTGACTGCTTCGTTAGGCTCTATTACATTTTTTGCTCATATTTGAACAGCATAATCCCATTTTTGTATTATTACCTTTGTAAATGCTACCAGCTCCCTGATTGTACTCTTTGCAACTCGCAACCTTATAAGCGATACCAATCCATTTTAGCAATGTTAGACTTCTAAACTCATTTGGAGCTAGTTGGCCATGAGAAGCGAACTGGTACTCAACTTGCTACCTTTGATTTTATTGTTGCCGATGTTATATAGAACGATGGACTTGTTTCTTTCTGCCACTCGTTGTGTCTTGACTCCCTTCTTCATTTGCAACGACCTGACTTGTGATGCATGCTGGTCAGCGCATAATTCATCAGAGTGCAGCGACCCCGTGTCTAGTCATATTGCAGTATTCCTTTAAAACTGATGTTGTTTGTTTATTGTGCGGACACATTACCACATAGTCGTCAGCTGTCTGTAATTGGCTTGGCATGTATTTAGAAATGGAAACACCATCGAAGACTTTTTAGATTTTGGGTTAGGCTCCCGTTGACAACGCTTTCTTGGTCATGATTGTTCGGGACTTATCGCCGGTAAACAGCCTGGGGTTGTGTTTAGAGCAGAAAGCCGATTACTATACGACTGGGCACAGCGATGGCTGATGGATGATCATGCAGTCCTCACAGCTGATATCAGCGCATTGCCAAACCGGCAAGTTTGCCGGCAATGTGCGTCTCAGCGCTTCTTACTGAGGTGCGCTTAGCGTACCATCAACTATCAAATGCTCCAATAAGTTCAGCGTTTCACTTGACTTGTGTTGTTTTACCAATCGGCATTGTTGAACCAGATTCATTCGATCAGGTGGACACCGAAAGAAATGTTAGATGCATTTCAGCGTGACTTTAATGGAATCTGTACGCACTCGGCACTGTGCCGTCATAGGGTAGCTCAGCGTTCGCAATGTTCATCCTGTTGGTCTGAGCTGGACTCATTTACTTGAATGAGCAAGTCGAATATTAATTGGGCAATCTGTTGGATGTGCGAATTCACGTATCGCAATGCGTCATGATTCATAATCATGGGTTATATGTTGTGCACTCTGATCGAATATTTCAAGCTAGACCTTTGTTATACAGTTGGTGTGCTATCCTCTTCTTCTTAATCGTCATCATTTGATCAATTGCAGTAGGTCTTTTTGCTTGTATTCCTCGTAACTCATTACCTTACCCTTGAACGTTTATTCTTTTGTGCTTTATGCCACTGTCAGGTTTTTGGTTTTCGTTCCAGAAAAGCGGCCATACCAATGCAATCACTGTGAGAAAGCGTTTCCTCTTAAATCTAATCTCCGGACCCACGAACAGTCTGTTCACCTGAGTGAGTAGAGTGTTGAATGCGTCGTTCGGTTGCAATCCTTTACTTTGGTCGCGTGCTAAAGAGAAACTGTCCACTGGAATATATTGCGGAATGTTTGCAACCAGTGGAATGTCCGATTCTTTCGTGTGTGTTACTTTGGCATTTACTATCAGGCTGCTTCTGTATCCAGGGAACGCGCGTCACTAAGTGCCGCCATGCGGTTCGTAAATGTTTGATCGATGTAGATGTTGCTCACCACCGTGTACTTTTCCAGAATCGGCAAAAAGGTAATGAAGTTGCTGGGTTTTTCCACAAGTAGTGACTAATCCTCATCGCATTTCGGAATCTATAAGCTAAATTTCACTTAAGACTGAGGCTAAACAAACAGGCTAGAAGACAGATCTTCATATAACTGAGTTATCCACGCCTGTTTATGAGGTGTCGGTTATGAGCTGAGTCAGCGAGACGCGAGCGTCGGTTTCCTTCACTGTCCAGTTAAGTGCATTATGGTTGATCTTGAAACGTGTTGTCCAGCTGCAGTTCTCATCCATCATTGTCTAACAAATGGGAATGTGGACGTGGGGTTGGGTCGGTAGTTCTCTCTTTGGCGTTTTGTGAATTGCGCGCCTATTGATGATACTTAACGGAGACATTTTCTGCGTTTTCCAGTGGGTCAATAATCTTGGTATGGACACTTGCAGTTCTTAAAAATCGACCTAATGATGCACTGACCTATGTGCATTACGCATTTCACCTTGTGTTCACCTGAAAATCACACTACACCCATTGAGTGCCATGGAAACACTAAGAGTGCGAATGGCGGCTTTATACCAGTTCCCCGATATCTTTGTCGTTGATGCCCCTCTGAGGCATTTTGTCTTCTTCACGGGTTCCATTCTGCTTTTGTTGCCTCATGTTAGTAATCTTACAGAATCACTTCCGCATTAGTATTTTTACCTGCGATAAACTGATCATTACTGCCTAACGAACTCAGTGCTGAGACTTTATTTGTTTGTTATCCACTTCGAGTGGGTGATATTGCCCCGGCTGTACTTCTCTTGTCCGAAATTCACTAAGCGCACCAATTTCCCCATGATAGTTGTACAACGACTGTGATGATTGTTTTCAGTCTGCCAAGCATACGTTTGCAATTACTTCGTGTAGTCATCACTTTCTCACTCTAAGCCAGCGTAACTTCCAAGTGCATCAGTTTTGTTGCCTTACTGTGCACTGCCTCACTGGTACTTATTTATGGATGAATCTAAGAGACAGGGTCTCATTGGTCCTCCTGTTACAGTGGTATTTTGCACCTCAGCATTGACACTGCATTTTCGGTGTTACTGTGAATCAGTCGATCCTATTTTATTTCAGTTGGTGTGACCATGAAGCCCGCTAAATAATTGTTATGCTATGTGGTTCATGGGGCTCTCTGTAGCACAAATGTCTAGTATCGAACCAAGGATAGGCTCTTGGTGTCCATTGTACATCTTACTGAGTATGGCGATGTGTGACCTATCAAGCGGTGACCGCCTTGTAGAATCTAATTTTTGTACTTCACTAAACGTGGGCAGCTTGCTTGCCCAAGCTGTTGTGGATGTGTGCTGTCAGTCGCCCAAGCAACGTATTTGGCATTGTCCTTTGACGAATAACACCGGCAAATACCCGGATGCACTTGACAGTTTTACTGTAACATTCCGATGATCACTGCGGCTCCTCATTGCCATTGAACTCCCCTGAGTGGTGCTTTCCACTGGCACCTAGGATTACTCACACCATGTGGAGGTGTTTTTCACTGGGGTTATGTTAATGTATTGCTGAATACTTGAATACTGTATTATAGAACAAGTAGAAATGAATTCTATACAACTCTTTCGAAATATGGTGAAAATGTTATAAAAGTTGCAAACCGTGAACATCGTTGTTCTCATGTAACATTTAAAATATCTGACTTACAATATTTCAGGACTCACAAATGTGATATGTCATCGTAAGTGTGCATCGTTCTCTGAATCGAATAGTGGTAAAATATAAATCTAACAACGTTTTCAACTGCTGCACAGATGTTGCCTCAATCACATGTTCAGGTAAACTGTTCCAAATGTTTACCAATCTCCGTTCGAAGCAGAGTGGGTGGGGAACACATTTCGCATCCGGCACGACAAGTTTGTATCTGTGTCCGCGTGTGCTGCATTAGCCTTAGCATTGGGAAGTCAGCGAGATGTAGAATACGGTAGGTCATAATGAGGTCGACTCGCACCCGACGGTAGGACAAGATGTGGAGTCCTAGTTTCTCGCAGCAGTCTTCATACCCCAAGCCAATTAAACTCGGGATGAGCCTGGTAGCAACGTGTTGGACTCGTTCGATCTTTTGTGCCTCTCCTCGGATAATCGGAAAGTAGGCGGGCGAATCGTACTCTAGCGTTGGTCTAATGATGGAAGAGAAGAGGCGAATGGCAACCTCTTCAGGCCATGTGCCGAAGCCACGTTTGAGCGCCCAAAGCATGCGCAGTCCGTTACGATATAGCCTGTTCGTGCTGTCCACGGACTTCAAATCGTAGCGTGAGAGTACACCTCGGTCCTTCACGGAGGGTGTGGGATATAGCGTTTTGCCGTCAAGGGTGTAGGTTGGGCCGTTAGCACCCTTCCCCAGGCTCATAAATACAGACTTGGTTGGGTTGACCGGGAGAAGAACTTCTGCAGGCCATGTGGATAGGCGGTTGAGATCTTGCTGAAGTAGGCCACAGTCATCAGGAGCGTCAATTTGTCTCCAAATCTTCATGTCGTCCGCAAACAAAGCACACGGCGACCGGAGAAGCTGCAGTAGATCATTGATGCGGAACAGGAACAGAGTGGGCCCCAGCACAGTGCTTTGAGGCACGCCACTTGTAGAGGAGTACCAGTCAGTTAGATGGTCGTCGACCTGTACCCTCCACTTTCGTCCAACAAGAAAGTCGTGGATCCACCGGTGCAGTGAGCCACCGACACCACACCTTCTGAGTTTGTGAAGGAGAACCTCATGGTTGACCTTGTCGAACGCTTTACTGAAATCGATTGATATCAGGTCGACGGACTTCCCCTTGCTTATTACCTTCAACCACTCATGTCTCGTCACAAGCAGGTTCGTAATGCATGAGCGGCCTTGCATAAAACCGTGCTGTGCGGGCGTCAGGACCTCGTTTGACTGTGGCAACTGAAGCAATCCCTTCTTCACGATTTTCTCAGCAACCTTTGCCAAAATAGGTGTCAGGCAGATTAGCCTGTAGTTGTCTATTTTGCTAGGGTCGCCGCCTTTCGGAATTGGCTTCACCACCGAACATTTCCAATCAACCGGCAACGAACCTTCGGACAGCGACCTGTTGAAAAGGTCAGCCACGACAGGAGAGAGGATGGTCGAAAGTGACTTGAGAACCAATGGGTGAAGTCCATCAGGTCCGGCAGGTTTGGAGCCGTCATGGTTGGCGAGTAGTTGACCTACCTCTACAACGCCGCAATGCAGACTATCGAGCTCGGTAAAACCGGTACACGTTGAACTCGGTACAGACACCTGGTTATTCGCAAATACAGAAGTGAAGTGCGCCACCAACGCGGACGCACGCTCAGTACTGGAGGTAAGGGCTGTCCATCCCGGCCATCCAGCACTGGCACATCACCTGCCGGCTTCAGGCGTCGCTTCACGTATGCAAAGATTCTCTTTGGGGCGGTCTTCGCGGCTACTGCGAGTTGCTCCTCGAAATGTCGGCGTTTATTCTTTTCTGCACTGTTGCAGCGGTTCCGCTGACATTTATACCCTTCGTAATCATTGGCAGAGCCAGAGAGGAGGAATTTGTTCCACAGTCTGCGCCGCCTCCGAACCGGGTTTCCATACTCCTTGTCAAACCAATGAGGCTTAATCGGTCCAACCTTCTGACATTTCAATAGCACAAATTGGGAACACAATGATGTCAATCTCTCTTTTATGAATATCCAATAGTCTTCCACAGATGCAGCTTGTGGCAGAGACCAATCCAGTTGGCTCGCGGTTCGAGCTAGACCATCGAAGTCCGTTTTCCAGTATTTGGGAGCTGGTTCCAGCGGACGTGAATACGGCAAAGATATTTCCATATCAGCTATGAGCACTGAATAGTCGCTTGTAGCCAGGGACTCCAGGGTCCTAACGTCACTGCATCCGGATATTTGTTACAACTCGGCCCACACGGGAACTACACTTTTTAGTGGAAGGCAGTATTCGGCCCCTAGCGCACAGCAGCAAAATACGTCACTTTCGCAGTACACAAAATGTATTAAATCTTGCACTAAACGGAACGCCTCTAATAATTCTAAACAGTTCAGTCAACACTTAGCTTGTGGTTAAACTGACGCGCGCTGACACTGGTAAGTCCAGCCAATACGAAGCAAGTGAACGAAGTTTAATTGATGACTAGTTTGGCGTTAGACTGCCACGCACTGACGTTGGCAAGATCGACCAGATAAGTGAACTGAGCTCGCGCAGAAGCCACTATGCCCATATCCTTCGAACTGCTCTTTGTCTCAGTGTGACCTGTGTCGTTTTCGCGGGTCTGTCCTAACTGCATTTTATCCACTTCTTCAACGGTTTTGGATTCCTGTCCTGTAATTTTGCCTTCAGGTATCCTCTGTTGTTCCACCAGCCACTTCAACTCGTTATACCATGCCAACTTATGTTTGCGTTGTCCGTCTGTGTTCATTTACTCTGACAATGCAACTGCCTCGAGGAGGTGAGGCTTGAAGGTGAGCATTTCATGGGCAGTTGGTATGAGAAAAACGGCTATTGGTGCGTGCTAGGAGTAGCGATGTGGAATTAGGCACAGAGATGAGCCAATCAGCTATTTGTATGCTAGCCGAACAGTTATCCCTGTGCGACTCTACAGGTTGATTGACACTGGCTGATCTCTAATCACTACATCAACTTTTTAAACTGAATCAAACAAAAGTAACTGTTCTTTCTAATGCACACAGGCGGCGTATCTGTTTATGGTTACGGCTCAGAATTATGTCTATATCTG